AAGTCACAGCCTCTTAACTTGTTCACCAGTATGGGGTGGGATACCGTATCGAAGGCCTTCCTGAAGTCTAAGTATACGACATCCACCCCTCCTCCTGTGTCCAGGCGTTTTGTAACCTGGTCATTAAAAGAGACTAGATTAGTCAGGCATGATCTGCCTGCTACGAACCCATGCTGGTTTCCCCTCAGCATAATTTCTACTGCCGGGCCCTCGCAAATGTGAGCCTTGATAATTTTTTCAAAGACTTTGCCAAGGACGGAGGTGAGACTGACTGGCCTGTAGTTGCCCGGGTCCTCCTTCCTCCCCTTCTTGAAAATGGGGACCACATCGGCCCTTTTCCAGTCCTCCGGGACTTGGCCCGTGCGCCACGAGCGTTCAAATATTCCCAACAGTGGCTCTGCAATGATGTCGGCCAGTGCCTTCAGCACCCTCGGATGGAGCTCATCCGGGCCTGCCGACTTAAAGGCATCCAGTTCCTCCAAGTGACTCTGCACCATCTCAGGGTCTGCTCATGGTAGTCTGGCGCCTTGCTGCTGCCTCTCTACCATCCCAGTGAGAGACTTGTCTTGCCCCTCTCTTAGGAACACCGAGGCAAAGAACTCGTTGAGGAGTTCAGCCTTGTCCCCCCTGTCCGTCACCAATTGCTTCTGCCCATTTAGTAGAGGTCCTATTCCTCCCTGGGCCTTCCTTTTACTCCCTATATATCTAAAAAACGATACCTTCATTATCTCCACTAACAGGAAACTTTAGTTGAGCACTTATTCAAAGGGAAGAGTGCCACTTCCTTTCTAATAGTGGTAGTCAACTTTAATTTATCATCCTGATACTGTCTGTCCTTTCCCGCAGCCAGACTTAAATGCATTTTAGCAGGCACTGAAAGCCTAATTATCATCCATGCTCCAAATGGTCACTTAATCCCTCTTTTTGACCACTCCAACATAAATCAATACACACTTAACTTCAGGTAGATTTTCAGAAATTTAGACAATGGTCTTGAATAAAAAGTTCCAGAAATGAGCGTAGTAGATGTTTTGTGGTCCTACAGTGTTCAAATATGTTTACAGTTTTTTTTTCTTATGGAAAATCATTCTGTATTAGGTATTGCTTGCTTGTGAAAGCATGGAAGTGATTATGGTTAGGCAAGCTGTGCTTGCTTAAAGCCAAAATTGTGAACATATTTGCTGCTGACATTGGGTCTAGATGTGGTGGATCCTTAATCAAAGCTTTTTGACCTTTAAAAGTACTGCTATACAGTTGCGTAATATTAATGTTCAAGAACTTGGAACCATGATCTCAAAACTAAGAGGGATATGTGTCATTGAAACAGAATCCTAATAAGTTTCTAATGTTCTGGGTTCCGTTGTGGTTGCATTCTATTAATCTGTCACCTCTGTTGGAAACTACCAGGAGCATAACAGCACTTCTTCAGCTAGACTAACCTGAAAGCTGCTGTTTTTGGGGAAAAATGCATGCTAGCATCATCTGAGGGGAAAAACCTTCTGCCCCTCTACCACCCCAGCTACAAAGGTTTTTTGTTTTTTTTCCATTTGTAACAGACTGATTAAATATTGTGAGAGAAATTTATAGCAACTACACATTTACTAATAAGAAAACAGAAGCTAAATTTCCTCCATTTTTATTTTGTTTGGAACTACATGAATGCTTTGCTGGGAAAGAACATACCCTACTTAGACGGTGCCAATCTGATATGGACTGATGCATCACCTCTAGTTTAAATGATTAATCTTTGCAAAAATAAAAACACCTATGGGCTCGTAGAGATGTTTAGTTTCTTCTGGGAGAGTTGTTGCTGTCCAGGATAAAACCACATGCTTACAGATGTTCAGACTTTTTCCTAGAGTGAAAATGGATGCTCCAGGAGAAAAATAACCTGAGAACTATCGGGGTTAATTTATTCCCAGAAAAATTTCTCCTGGAAAAGCAAATGTCTGTACATGCCATAAAAGGTGTATTGTGATTTTAAAATGTTGGCCAGCATCATCCAACCTCACCTCCTATAGGACACAACACACATATTGATGTGAAGATAAGTATAATTTTGCTTCCTAGACCATCTGCAATGTCAAAATATCTGGCTGGATGAAAGAATCATTGTATGAGATACTGGATCTTTAAGCTGACATCTCAACAATAAACCTATTCAACTTAACTATGTTAAACTTTCAATGTATCCTTGTTTATAACATCCCTTACATTTTTTAACCCTGAACTATTTTTAACCTCCTATACTCATCATGGAACGTAATGGGGTTCTTAAGTAGCTATGCTGTTATTTCTTCATGTCTGGCAAATTCTCCTCTAAAATTCAAAATATCCTTTTCTAGTTCATTTCTTGAATTTTACCTAGAATTTGTTTACTTGATGGTACTAGGGTAGTGTGAATGAGGAAGAGATCACATATTTGATAGCAAGTGTTTAACGGTACTTTCAAATGACTACAGAAAACAATGTCAGCTACTTTGTTTCTCTCTAGTTTTGAGGAATCTGGTTTCGGTTCTCTCTCAACTTCTACAAAAAGTAAAAGTGTGAAATCATTGCACTCAATCATAAGCATGGCATCATCATCCAGATCAGACCTTTGGTCTAGCTCAGTCATTCTCTTCCATGATGCTGTGGCACAATGGAGTGCCGCAAAACCCTTTCAGTAGTGCCACAAGATATTTTTGGTACCTTTTGGTTTTCAGATGCCTATACATGATTCACAAGGTAGACCCAGAGGTTTGAAATAGGAATTCATAGTGTCAAACCATTCTGATCTGCTGTGGTCTTTCTGGGTTCTTTGCAACAGAAGAATAGTTCTCTTATTTTTCTGTAGTTAAAAAAAGTGAAAGCTAAGGGCTGGCATTTTGTGAAGGGTGCTTTGAGTCTAATGAGGTTGAGAACTATGATCTATCTTCTAGCAGCTAGGCTTACTACTTGAGAGACAAGAAACCAATATTGTGTCTAGTCATCTATGCATTTCCACATATGAACAAAAAGAGGAGACTTTTCCCAGAACCCAGCAGATAATCAATTTCTCATTCTGAAGCAGCACCATGTTTTATTGCTCATATTATCATTTATAGTTTGCATAGTGAGAAATATTAATGGTTGTAAAAATCCTTGAAACCTTTTTACTACTGGGCTTTGTTCAGAACCATTCTGTCATATTTAGAAATTCTGCACTGTGTGGGTGAGACGCAAACTTAAAGGGAAGCTGACAAGTTCCTAAATCTAGCTTGTGTGTACATGTAGTTGCACATACGGCATTCTCTGTTTTGAATAGGCATAGTAGGGATGTTTGATAAATTTCAGGGCCCTGTACCATGGTACAGATGACATTTTATTAACTTAAAAAATGCCTGTACATTTCTTGGAACCAAAGGGTATCATCATTTGTGTTTTGGCTTGTTAACCAACGTCCCCTAACACACTTTACCATGAATTGTCCTTTTTTGATCATGTCCTCAGGCAGAAGTCTAGGAAAGGTGATGTGCTTTGTTGTGCTCTGAAGGTTATGCTAATGAATCATGGAGAAAGTATGACTAAGAGCTGAGGGACTTCCCTGAGCATCATGTCTTGAGCCCCTTACTGGGTAAGTTGACAATTGTGGCTTTTAATTTGATAAATTTAGACCTTTCTTGTGATGGGTAAGCTTGCAAGCCAATCTTAACTATCAGGTATTACTTCCACTTGGAGTAAGAAGGGAAGACTTTCTAGGGCATTGCAAACTTCTTTAAAAAGCCCAACTGAAATGCATAGTACATCTTATTCTTGCTTTTTCTCCCCTCTTTTTAGCTTTTCATGTTCAACTTCTGGAGAGAATTAAGTGGTCAGCCTAGAGCAGTCTGTGTACAAAAATGGTTGTCTGGATGGACTTACTCAGCCTTTGTCATACAGCTGTGCAAGAGACGGGATTGTATGTAACCTGGGACTCTCATTCACTGAACTGTGCATCAGAGCATTGAGATCTGCACTTCCATTCTTAAATTTAAGATTATCTTAATGTGCCCTGCTTTAGGAACATCCAAAGCACCTTCTGAGCAGAGTAAAGTAGCTGTGGCAGAGTGCCACACTAACATGACTATGCTGTTTCCAGTAACTAAGCTAGCTCATTTTAGAACTAGCATTATACAGTGTAGATTGGTGTTTCTCAAACTGGCTGCCATGAGATCCTTTCTAAAGGTGTTGTCTGCTGCCTAGTGGAACTGCCCCATCTCACCTCTGTTTCTGGGAGATGCTGTGTGGGGCTAGGCTGGGAAGTGGCTGTGGCAGAAGGGGGCGCCCCACTGCAGCCCAGCCTGATGGGAGGGGCTACCGCTAAAGTCCCGGCTGGTAATGAAGATAGGATTCAGGAAGTTCCATTCCCCTCCCCCCCGCACTTCCCAGTGTTGAGGGGCATCTCCTGGACTTTACACGGAAAGGCAAAGACAGAGGGGCTTGCCTTTTTTGTGTGGGGAAAAGGAGGAGCTCCCTCTACCTGCATCTGCAGAGAATGCTGCTAAACTCAGAGAAGTGAGAGAGGGGAGCCTTGAGTGTAAAAAAGTTGAGAACTCCTGGTGCAGATTCTATATCCAGGCCTTTTGATAGTGCCGTGTGCTACTATTCATGAAACTTATAAAGCAGTTTTGAGGTCTCCTGTTCTCTATACCCCACCTGAACTTGAGCATGTTGTAGAGCAGGGGTGAGCAATTATTTTGGACAGAGGGCCTCTTACTGAGTTTCAGCAAGCCATCGAGGGCCGCATGACAGGCAGCCCAGGGCAGATTAATATTAATTTTCTAAATTTTTTAGGGGCCCCGTGGGCCAGATAGAATAGTCTGGTGGGCTGCATCCAGCCCCCGGTCCGCATTTGCCCACCCCTGTTGTAGAGTATATGATTCCTTCAGTTTCAAGGAGCATTGGAAAGATTTTTGGCATTTCTTTCTTGAAAGCTCAGTATATAAGGTCATAAAGGGAAATTTTCCTTGTTAGTTATATTGGAGAAAGGGTGCAGTGGGGTGCTGAATGCAGATGTCAATGAAAGGTGATAAACATCTCTGTACAGTATTCAGCTGTCTAGACTTGTTACTTCCTATATGGAAGATTTTTGTAGTGTACAGTATACTCTTACCGAAAAAGTAATTATTGTCCACTTAAAACTTGTAGTATTTTTTTTTTGCCTACTTGTTTTTAACCCAATTTAAAAGTTAAGTAACCTAGTTCTGGAAGCTTGTGTGTATGTTTAGGCTTGTGTTTGTTTGTTTTTGGGTTTTATGATTTACTTATTTATTTTAAACCAAGCTCACTTACAGGCTTAGAAAGTGTATCAAATGTATCAAAATGTACCTCTTTTTTGCTGCTGTGAATTATCATAGCTTGACTGCTTAATGTCGCATGTGGAGAGAGTATGGTATATTAGTAGGTGCACTTATCTGTATTGCTGAATAATTCTTAGTCTTTTGTACCTTGCCTGCTCAGTATATTACCATGTGGTTTTAACGGAGTAGTTTTTAATTTTTTGACCTCAGGAGGAAAATTCTTCCTCCTTATGGAGTAATTTGTAATATTAATCTTGAATACGTTTGCTTCTAAATAAAGTGTGTACCCTGATGAAGTATTAATGTCTGCTTGATGTAAAGGGGGTTCAGAAGATATAACAAACATGTCTCAACTAATTTTACACAATCCATTTATAATACCAAAATGCAGGCTAATTCTATTTTGTTTGTGAGGAAACTGTAAGAATTAACCAATTGCCTGTCAAGAATGACAGAGATTGCGGGGATGGAGCATTGCCACCCACCACCCCATGCCACTGCCACCTCCCAGGAGCGGGGGGGGGAGAGGGGAGGGAAGCTTGCCACACCAGCACCCTACACTGCTGCCACCGCTTCCAGCCCTGCTGACCTCGGCCCTCCCCGTCCCTTCCTCCCCCGAGCCCTGCTCCTCAGAGGGGGCGTTCTGCACTCTGGCTGTTTCATTAACCAATCAGAGTGCTCCAAGAGTGTTATGGACAGATGGACTAAGCCCTTTATTATATAAGAATGTCTTTTAAAAATAGTCAGCTGTTTTAGTTGTTGCATATTTCAGTAGTCTAGAAATTCTGAGCAAGCAGCTTGCAGTCTGTCTTAAATCACCTAGCTATTTTTGCAGACCTATTTCTATGCTACATTTTATCCCTTCCATGTTTTATTTTGTTGTCTTGAACAGTATAATTACTTTCTAAAGGAAAAGAGACCCTATTTTCTCTTTTGTGGAAAAATCTAAAAGGTGGAGGTATGCTGCTGGACAGTATTAAATATATTTATATGTTATATATAGCAAGCTCAGAGAAAATCCATGGAAGGTGTTTGCATGCAAAACCCAGATTATTTTTTTTTAAATATTCTTGTGTATCAGGGAAAACCCCTTGCTGCACAAATGTACTGCTATGAATGTTAATGGTGACTGGCGAGCAGGCAGACTGAAGAGAAGCCTCTAATTTCAAAGTGTTTGGGAAAGCCGACACGTGACTGCAGGTTTGAAAAATGAGACTGCGGAATTGCCTTGTATGGGAGTCCCCTGCACCAAAGGCAATTCCTAAAACTGATAGATGCCTGTTACTTTTAGGTAAAAGAAAAAAAAAAGGAAGGCAGGCAGGAAGAAAGGAGGAGAATATTTAACTATTTCAAAGCTAATTTTTAATAAACGTGACCTGAAACCTGCATAGAAGCAGAATCTTGCTGTCGTCAGGGGAGTTGGGATTCCGAGCTGCATAGATTGCATTTTTCCTCCCCACCTTCCCTGTTTAGTATGCAGAAGGGGTTTCAGGATCCAGTAAGAGTGTCTCCCACGTACATCACACACTCAGCAAAGCAAGCTGCAGCAGACGTGGACAACCCTGGTGGTACAAGTGTTCGCACTCCACTAATAACCTTGGTGCTGCTGCTGCAAGGTTATTGCCTGTATTGACTGAAAGCTGCAACTCTATTTCCTGCATCAGATCGTCTCCTGAGAAATTTTTTGTTTTCATTAAAGCAAAAAAATATATAACTTGCCTTTGGAATGAACAGAGGGAGCTGGTTTGTTTGCTTTCTCCTCTTTTGTACTTTGATAGCAAAGCCTGAACTGGAAAGTCTGCTGCTGACGCACTGCTTTAAAAAATAAAAATAGACCTAGAAAGAAGCAGAAACAGATGGCTCTGAGTTCACTCAGTTCAGTCAACAAATTATAGAAACAATGAAATGTTAACACTTAATTCCCAGAATGTTAATTATTGTTTTTTGGGGAAGCAGAGGGGAGTCATTTAAGCAGCTTTAGAAGTTGTTCACTTTCTATGCTGTGCACACGTATACTGCATTGAAGCTCACATTTTAAATTGAAAACCCTCTGTTTGTGCTCAGTGAGCAATCTAAATGCTCTTTATTTTTTTAATACCAAGTCTAAATAAGTTGAAGTACACAAGAAGGATTGTTTGCATCAGGTATTTTTGTCTAGCACTACAAGTGTAACTTTTTTCTATATTTCATATACGTATACACACGTAACTTCATATACATGTGTATGTATAATATATACACATGTATAATTTCATATACACATACACATTGTGTGTGTGTGTGTATGTGTATATGTATTTTTTTTCACTCCATGTAGTCAATTTGCAGATAGTTTTGCTCACATCTCAAAAAGTCCAAGAAGAAATTTTCTGTCTAAAAAGTGAATGCTAGTGTTAGGTGAAAATAGTTGGTTTGCATCCTTAGTTAATGATAATAACTGGGATAGCATGAGTCAAGGCATCATAAACATTTTGTGTGCAAGACCTGGGGTGGGAGTGCAGGAGGAAGGGAAAGACCCCTTTATGCTCATCACCATCCATTCACATGCCAACACAGCTGTCTAAACTACTGCACTGTAACTTTCAGAGATGTTGAAGACATCATTTCCTAGCTGTGCAGTCCTTTGTTCTGCAGAATTATTTTGATAGTCTAAAAGCATTTCAGGACTGTATTTGAACTTTAGGCTGGCTAAAAACATCAATAAATCAGAGTGTGACAGTGGGACTTGAGGCGAGTCTGTGGACTGGGGCAGGCAGTCTTAGCTCTGCACTGAAAAGTTTATTTGTAAAAGGCACTGTTGGTGTTTGTTTTCCACGTAAAATGTGCTCAAGTTAAAAAATCAAACTTTCTAGGTGCTAGTTTTTTAATGTCTACCTGGCCTTTCAGCCAGGTTGGTTTCTTTACCTCATTGCAGATGTTCTGCCGGCCAAATTAGGTACCTGTTTAACAAAATTGAGTTTGTTACATGTCAGATAATGCCGTTGTTGATTTTTATGTAAGTGCACCAATACTAGTGATCCATAAACATTAAAACCACTAAAACAACAAGAAAACCTCAAATCCAGCACCGAGCATAGCCTCAGGGTGAGTTTATGGTGTTTCAGCTAGAATGTCTTACTCACAGACTGAGCAAGTGAAAAAACTAACAGGAAATTGGCTCAAAATAGTCAATGCTGATAAATGCATTAGTCATGGGACCACTTTCTCTCCACTTAAATATTGAAACCACATATGCTAGTATTACTTCCTCTGAATCCCAGGGTTGCTAGCTATTCAGTCTGAGGGGAAAAAAAAAATTCTTTCTGTATTCCTTATCTAATTCATGGAAGGGCCTTTGAATCCATCAGATGTGCTCCCTGCACAAACAGTATGAAATTTAGTTCTCTTCAGTAGGGCCTTTTTTAAAGTGATGATTGCATAAAAAAGTTTAAAAGCCTGTCTCTTGGCACCTTCAAACTTCCCCTCCTTGTTTGAAATGGAAATAGGTCACAACTTCCTACCGCCCTCAGGTTTTGACTGCATTTGTCAGCTGGAACAGATCATGACCTCTGAAGGAAGGCCCAAATTTTGGGACTATTGGCCAAGAACCAAACCACTCTGCCTGCCAAATTAGGTTGAAAATACTAGGGTTAAGGGATTGTCAAAAGCTTTTCAGATTAAGGTTCACCAAAGCATATGGTTGAAAAAAAATGTTATTTTCTTCTTATTTATCAAAGTTTGTGGAATTAGAGTTTAATGGTAACTGTGCTACAGTTAGCAAGAAGTTAGTCATCAGCTATCCTAATCCTTTTCTCCAAAAGTGTAGCTTTGACAAAAGGTTTCCAGAGATGGAAGTCTTAAAGGTGTATTTTATGGCAATTCTGTTCTGCTAAGCATTTAACAGCATTTTGTTTTGCTTGGTGAAGTTTTAGCACAAAGGCATTTAGGATAGTGTGCAAATGGATTATGACAGCAAGATGAGAAGGCCAGTGATGGGTCTCAAACTTGAGCTTGTCCTCCTTGCCTCCATGCTCTGTGGGGAGGGAATCTGGGAATATGCATGTTTTTAAAGCTGTATATATGCTGCAGCATAGTAAAACCAATGTTCAGCAAAAAGCTTAAAGCCAGCAACATCAAACATAACATTAAATAATTTAATGGACCTGGGTTGATTTATTGTAGTGTTGAAAGCAAATGTGCAGAATGACTCGACTCATTCTGTGGGTGGATTTACAACTTCCATAATACCATAAGCAACTTCCTTTTTCTGGAATATTCTTGCACTTGTGTTCAGTAGGTGGCAGTGAGCCCTCAATTTAAAATAATCAGCAAGGAGTAGGCATTCTACCTGTCCTGCTGCAGAATGCCAGTTCATTAGTGGATCATGAAAATAAAGTTTTTAAAGTCGAGTACACACTTAATGTGACTGTAGATTGATAAGGGACACTTCTTAAATTGTGTGCCTCTGTGGTTGTTTCATGGTAGCTGGAAGCTGATACATTAGCAAACTACTGCTAACTAATTCTATCTGGCATAAGCAATTGGATACATTATGCACAAGCTACAAGGAGACTTGGCGTATTCAAATCCTGTTCTTACCTCCTTTCTAAAGCATAGGAAAATGCATTTGATTGAACATGTAAAGCTAATAACTTTGCAACAAGTGCAAAAAAACTGCAGTAGTATACCCTAGAACAGGCCCATCAGACTTGTGACTGTGACTGGGGGCCAAACACTCTGTGGGCCATACCAGCAGGGGCTGCACACCTATGAGCCACACCAATGAGAGCCCTGGGCCTTCTGGGTCACATACAGTATGGACATTCCCACGCATTGCAGCCAGAGCAGCGTGGGGAGTGGTGGTCTGGCAAGAGTCATGGGGCCAGAAGTCTGAATCCCATTTGGCTACATGTGGCCTTGGGGCCACCAGTTGGACAGTCCTACCTAGGATGTATTATCCAAGGATCACTTGTAGGTAACAACTTAAATAGGGTGACACCACCTATCAATGCCGCAGATGCTTTGAACTGGCACGATAATTAATCCAGTCCAAATGTCTAATGTTTTAAGTATCTTAAAGTGGCACAAGATGAAAAGTCAGTGGGGAAATTACATTTTCTAAATGGGTTCCAACTGGTGTATTGTGGATTGGAACCCGTTTAGAAAATGCACAGTTATGTTCTTGTCAACTCTAATTGTAATTCTTAATTTGTAAGAGGGCAGTGAGCTCAGTCTGTCAACTTTCCAGTTTCAGGCTGACTAGTGAGACTCCAATTTGTGGGAAACTGAGGGTGGAAAAACAAAAGC